TCGAAGGCCACGGACCCAGCCCGGTTCAGCCCCTGCTCTCTGGACCGGGGCTGATAACGCCCCTCCCGCAGCGAGGAACGGCCATAAAGCCGGGCCGGCCCGAGGTGGGACACGGCGCGACCTGAGGGGGCTGCACCCTACACACCCACCCACTCAGGCTCCCAGTCCCTCTGCCTGGATCCCGTTCCATTCCCCTGCACCAAGCACACTCGGGGTGTCACTCCCTGCCCTTGGCCACACCCTGTCACACCCCCAGCCCCCCCAACCCCCTCACCCCACACTCGTGTCCTGCTGTGCACACACGACCTCTCATGGCAGGGGCTCCATGCCAGCCCACCCAGGCTGCACACACGGACCTGTGAGCAGGCACAGGGCATGGACAGGGGGGTCATGGAGAACCTCTGCCATGGATCCAGGCTGGGAGGACTGGGGGTGCTCACCTGGAGAAGAGAAGGCTCCAGGGAGAGCTCAGAGCCCCTTGCAGGGCCTAAAGGGGCTCCAGGAGAGCTGGAGAGGGACTGGGGACAAGGCCTGCAGGGACAGGACACAGGGAATGGCTTCCAGTGCCAGAGGGCAGGACTGGATGGGATATTGGGAAGGAATTGTTGGCTGGGAGGGTGGGCAGGCCCTGGCACAGGGTGCCCAGAGCAGCTGTGGCTGCCCCTGGATCCCTGGCAGTGCCCAAGGCTGGGATGGACGGGGCTTGGAGCAGCCTGGGATGGTGGAAGGTGTCCCTGCCATGGCAGGGGTGACACTGGATGAGCTTTGAGGTCCCTCCCAACCCAAACCATTCCATGGGTTATGCACACACCCCCCAGCCCCTCCTGCGTGCACCTTGTGTGCACACAGCACATCCCTGCACGCACGGCTGGGCACACACAGGTATGGACACACAAACATCATCACGTACGTGTGACCTATGGACACGTATGTATTCACACACACATGGACACACACACAGCACACACACAAGTTCTCACACACCACAGACATCAAACACACACACGTTCCCACACAAAGGCATCATACACATGTACACATACACACATAGGGCCACACTCACAGTCACACACACTCACAGTCACACACACTCAGGGTTACACTCACACACACAGGTCACACTTTCACAGGGTCACACACATTCTCACAGGGTTACACTCACACACTCACACATAGGGTCACACTCACAATCACACTCTCACAGTCACACACACACACAGGATCACACTGTCACAGTCACACACACTGTCACTGTCACACACACACAGGGTCACACTCAATCACACACACACACAGGGTCACACACTCACAGTCACACACACTGTCACAGTCACACACACACACACACACAGGGTCACAATCACAGACACATAGGCTCACACTCACAATCTCACACACACACACACAGGTCACACACAATCACAGACACACACAAACACACAGGTCACACGCTCACAATCACACACACAGGTCACACACACACAGGCTTACACTCTCACAATCACACTCACACACACAGGCTCACTCTCACAATCACACACACACTCACACAGGGTCACACTCACAATCACACACACACAATCTCACACACACAATCACACACAGACACAGACACAGACACACTCACACAGGGTCACACTCACAATCACACACACACAATCTCACACACACAGACACAGACACACACACTCACACAGGGTCACACAATCACACAGACACACACACACACACTCACACAGGGTCACTCTCACAATCACACACACACAATCTCACACACACAGATACAGACACACACACTCACACAGGGTCACACAATCTCACAGACACAGACACACACACTCACACAGGGTCACACTCACAATCACACACACACACACACACACGGTCACACTGTCACAGCCACACAGTCACACACTCTCAGTCCCCGCCCCCCGCACGCAAGGCCCGCTCCCATTGGCTGTCCGGTCCCGGGGGCGGGGCTCCGCGCACGGACCAATCACGTGTCTGCAGCTCCCCCATTTCGTGTGCGGCCGCTGAGGGCGGCTGTTCCCGCCCCCGGCCCTCAGGGCTCCCCTCTCCAAGAGACCCCAAAGCCCCGTGCGGAGCCCACCCCCATCGAGGGGCCATCAGCGCTACGGACGGCTTTTTTCCTCTCCTTTTTCTCCTCCTTTATAAAGTGCCCTTTGTACGTATTTACCTTACGAAAGGAGATTAAAACCTCGGGCCGGGTGCCCCATCCTCTTCTAGGGCTGCCCCGGCCTGGCAATGTTCATTGTGCAGGTGAGAGGTGACAGGTGACCCTGCACCGGTGACACTGCACCACAGACAGCCTTCATCAGCCCGGTGGGGTCTGGGACACGAGAGTCCGGGATGGGAACATGAGTCCAGGGTTCATGGGAATACAAGTTCGTGGGAATATGAGTCCAGTGCAAGGAGACAGGGTGGGGGTCACCCCCCTCCCCAGAGCCCAGTGGCCCCCAGTGCAGGGGACCCTCCAGACTCAGAGTGTGGCACCGCAGTGGCCAAGGACACAGTGGCTGAGGACACAGCCCTGAGGACATGGTGGCCAGGGACACAGGGCCAGGGACACAGGCCCGCTCAGTTGATGGTGCTGCTCTGGCTCTCTCCCTCAGCGCTCCCAGTGCCACTTTCAGGGGTCCTAGCACTGCTCAGCCCCTGCAGGCTGACAGCACCTAGAGGAAGAGGAGGAAGGGACAGGTCAGGAGAGATGGCAGTGTGAGGTGACCCACATGTGCTGGCCTGGCCCTCCTGGACTCTTCTGCTAGTACCAGGGGCCTGATGCAGCAGAGCCTCAAGCAACATGAGGGGTCTGTCCTGTTCCCCCACCCCACAGCAGGCACTGCCACCCAGGGAAGCAGAAAAGGCGCTGAGCAGGGGTGTTGGCTCCTCAGGCTGGCAAAGGTCACCCCACCATCCCCCACGTTTGCTGCCAGCACGTGGAGCTGCCCCTGACACCCCCTGAAGCTCCAGTGTCAGTGTGGCCGTGACCAGGCCAGGGGCGTGTTGCCCCCCAGAAGGGCACAGCAAGCAGACACAGCCCCTCTCTGGGGGAAGCAGCAGGAGCGGGACAATGGCCCAGCCCCGTGCCCTACCATGACGGTTCCCCTGCAAACGTAGCCACAGCCAGCCCAGTGATGAAAGGGCTCCCACTGCTGCCGCACTGGGGCCATCTGCAAAGACACTGCAGCTTTAGCTCAGGCTGGCACTGACCTATACCCAGCTGTACCCAGCTCCACACTGGGCTGCCCCCAAGCCCTCAGCCCCACTCACGGTAGCGGATCCGGATGGGCCACACCATGATGCAGCACAGCACGGTGACAGCAGCAATGGCAATGCCGCCAGTGACCAGCACCATCACCCAGCGGTAGAAGTCGACACAGGCAGGGCAGCACAGCTCAGTCCTGTGATGACAGGCAGGGAAGTGGCTGGAGGCTGGGACTGGAGTCCCAGGCTATGGGCAGTTGTCCCATGTCCCCACATCAGAGTCAGGACTGATTCCCACTGGGAGGGAAAGGCCCAGGGCAAGGATATCCACAGGGCTTGGGCCCTCGTCCAAGGCCAGGAGAGAAGGTGAAGAGAGGTTTAAGACAAATCACAGCCAGACAAGAACAGGCTCCAGGGAGACCTTACAGCCCCTTCCAGGGCCTCAAGAGGCTCCAGGAGAGCTAGAAAGAGACTTTGGACAAGGGCCTTGAGGGACAGGACAAGGGGGAATGACTTCACACTGCCAGAGGACAGGGTTAGATGACATATTGGGAAGAAATTCTTCCTTGTGAGGGTGGTGAGGTCCTGACACAGGGTTCCCAGAGTAGCTGTGGCTGCCCCATCCCTCAAAGTCTTTCAGTCCAGGCTGGACAAGGCTTGGAGCAACCTGGTGTAGTGGAAAGTGTCCCTGCCCATGGCATGGAGTGGAAGGAGATGAGCTTTAAGGTCCCTTCCCATTCAAACCGTTCTGGGATTCTATAAATCTGAGCTGCTTCCCTCCCATGACTCTTGCTCCAACCCTGGAATATTTCCTTGTGGCCCCCAAGCAATAGAGGTCCCAGGTTTGCAGAGACACTTACGGGCAGGGGTGCAGGTTCTGGATCACCATCACAGCCAGGCCATTGGCCATCTTGTCCGTGAAGCTCATGGCACCGTAGACAAATGCGCTGCTGTGCTGAGGGAGGACAGGGAACCATGCTGGGCTATGCTGGGTCACACAGCCCTGTGTGCCCTCTCATGGGCAGAGCCCTCACTGCAGCAGAGCAGCAGAGCATGGCGCACAGCACTCACAGGGGCTGCCCAGCAGAGCTCACTCCCCAGCACCTTCATCCCCCAATCCTAACCAGTGCCCACCCCAGACTACAGGTTCTGTGCCTGCTGTGACCCCCCCATTCCATCCCACCAGGAGCAGCGGCCGTACCGTGTTAGTGCCGATGAGATCTGCAGTCATAGACAGGGAGGTGACCAGGATGGTGGCTGAGCCAGCCCCGAGCAGCACTGCCAGCCCGTAGATCTCATCTCCTATTGGCCTGGCCAGGGTCACCCACGAGGCAAAGGCCAGGACCACCAGGATGCCCACAAAGTAAGTCAGCTGTGATGGGGATGGGCAGAGGGAGAAGGGGGAGCTCAGACATCAGCTGGCACTCATGGGGAGGGAGGAGCAAGCAGGGAGGGCATGGGGCCAGCATTGCCCAGGACCCATGAGGGACAGCCCTGGCTCTGTCCCAGCTGTATTTAAACAAGGAGACTCCAAAAGTAGGTCCTTGCTGTACTTGAGGCTGTTCTGCAGCCCAAGGGTTGTGCCCTGGGCAGTTGGGAGAGCGTGTCTGTGAGGTTAGGGGACACTCCACTGGCATCCAACAGCACACAGGGGCAGGTTCCTGCTGCTGGCATTGCAGACCGTGTGCCCACTCAGGCAAGTGTAGCCAGACCCCCCCTCTGCCCCGATGGGCACCACAGGGCTCTACAGCCCAGTCAGACCTGCATGGGACATGGTAACTCTAGGCCAGCATTGCCTTCCCCAGCCCCAGGGATGTACAAGACAGGCTCCTGCTCCCATCCCTGCCCACCATCCCCAGACCTAGTAGGACCCAGATCCCCATCCTTGTCCACCACTCCCAGTCCCAGCAGGACCCATGCTGCAGTGGGTGGTTGCTGGCAAAGGGACCATAAGGGGTCCTGGCTCTCCAGCTCAGGTGTGCCAGGAACTTTTCTCACAGCCAGGATTTGGCCCCTGGGCCTCTCCTGGGGTCAAACTCCAACCTCTCCAGCACCCTGTACTTACGTTCCGACCAATCCATTTGTTCACAGGCTTCATAAGGAATGAGGAGAGGAACCCACTGACATACATCACTAGGGGAATGGTGGCAATGTACTTCTGCAAGTGACAAGGACAGGGAGGAAATGAGCCCCAGACCACATCAGGACACCCTCTCATGTGCCCCTGGACCTGCCCTGTGCCCACCTTGGAGAGCAGCAGTGAGTTGGTCAGGTACATGGCGATGTAGGTCTGGGACAGGTTGACGATGAGGCGGGTGGCCATGTAGAGCACTGCAACCTGGGAGGGGATACAGCCAGGGCATCAGTGCTCAGCCTGTGGGAAGGACCTTCTCTGCCCAGCTATCAGGGCACAGGTGCCTAGTGGGAAGGGCATGGTCCCTCTGAGGTGGTGGATGGGTACCCAGAACAGCCCCTCTCTCCATCCCCACCCACACCTGGGCAGGTCCCATGGCTGCAGGACACCCAGGGTGCCCAGGCAGGGCAGCAGCCCAGGCCAAGGGAGTCCTGCCCAGCTGTACCTGGTAGAAGGAGGGCTCCAGCAGCCAGTCCTTCCAGAGCAGCAGTGGACGTGGGGGGCCCGAGGGCTCCTTGTGCAGCAGCGGGGTGCTCTCCTCTGGCTCAGGCAGCACCCCTGGTAGGTACGGCTTCTCCTTGGTGCCCAGGTGGAAGATAAGGGAGAACACGGCCCCGAGCCCCACCACGATGAGGGCCAAGTTCTGGTGAGGCAGTGGGTGTGAACACAGCAGTGGGGCAGCCCACCATCAGCCCCCCAGCAGTCTGGAGGGTAAGGAGAGGTGCCCAAACCCCAGGGAGGGCTCCGTGTGGCTCTTACCCAGTTGGTGAGGTTTTAGGGCATTGCCTTCTGACTCCCTCCAGCACCTCCCCAGTTGAGTCACAGGAAGAGGGAACCCTAGGGACTGTGCTTTGCCACTCACCCGAAACACAGGGATGTCCTGTGGGCCCAGGTGCTCCATGTGGTCAGGCTGGTCCGTCTGGAAGTTCAGCAGGAGCCAGGTCAGGCCATACACAGTGATGTTGGCCATGACGGTGAAGGCATACCTGAGTGGAAAGAAACCTTGGGGCGATGCAGAGGGACAAGCATGGGGACAGAACAACAGGACACCTCTGCCCACGGCTGCCCCCTAAGCCAGATGTGCTACAGCTTCTGCACCTCATGTCATGGCTGAGGCAACACCTCTGAGGGCACAAGGCATCTGGCCAAGCAGCCTTACTGCTGCAACTCCCAGTGTGCCCAGCCCAAGCCTCTGGGCATGACTGAGAAGAAACCATGATTCCTGCAGGTCAGTTGGTTCCCCCTCCAGGCACAGCTCACCTCTGCTTCAAGGATGCCATGAACCGTCTGACCCAGTGTCCCCAGAGTGGGACCACTTGGACCCACAGTTACCCCACATCCTCCTTGTTCACCCTGCTCCATAGGATAAATATCCCATCCCACATCCCGATCCTGAGAGAGATGAGTCGAGTGCACTGCCCACCTGGCCCTGGAGACATCTCACCTCCACAACAGTCCTCAGAGCTGTGTCCAGCTCTCCTTGAGGGCATCTGGGAGGAACAGCCCCAGATGCCCTCAAGTCCCCTAAATGCCACCATCAATTCCCAAAGCAGAGGTGTCTCCAGCTCAGGGAAGTGTCCCATGGGGTGTGTCACTGACATCCCTGGCATCAAGACATTCCCTCCTGGCAGCAAAGGCTTTGAGTCACCAACCCAGGACCAGCACCAACCTTTGGCACATCCCACAGGACACCCACATGGCCCAGTCCCTGTGCTGCCATGCCGAGGTCTCTGGTGTGCCACAGCACCCAGGGGCCTCCTGTCACACAGTGATGGGACCCAGCATGGGCAGGGCAGCTCCCTGAGCCCCAGGGGACCGCAGGTGTGGCTGTGCTCACCTGAAAGCCGTGAGCTCCACCTTCCCATGGTCACTGCTCACCAGCTCGGGGATGAGGGCCAGGTGGGACACCTGCGTGGCCGCCCAGCCAAACTGGAAGATGACGATGAAGGGGAGGTAGTAGATGAAGGCTGCCCACTGTGGAGTGCTCTCCCCGCAAGCCAGGCAGGGGCTGAAGACAAAGGGAAAGGACACAAGGACACAGGTGGTGCCTGGGGAGAGAGTGGAGCAGTGAGAGGCTGCATACCTGGCTGGGACTCCAATGTGACACAGACAGCGCTCTCTGACACAGGTTCTACCCCAGAGCTGGGGAGGGAGGTGGGTCCCTTCCCCAACCAGATGAGACACGTGGAGCTCCAGACTCCCTCAGCCCATCCTGCACAGGGAATGTCCTTCCCTCTGGTACCCAGCACAGACAAACACCCCCCAGTCAAGGTCCTTTCCCAGCACAGCACTGGCACTGTTCTGTCCCCTCAAGACATCATGGCAGACCCTCAATGTCACACCCACCGACACCAAGAGGTTCTTACTGTCCCCAGGTGCAGATAACCAGTCAGATAACCCCTCCCTGCTGCCTGCCTGTGGTGATACAGCACCCCTAGGGAGGGCTCTGGCTGTCCCACAGGCACTGTCACCCCATCTGTTTCCATGTCCCCTCTCCCATGGGGCTGGCAGAGTGGGGCTGGCAGAGAGAGCCATGCTTCTGCCATGCTCACAGACATCACCCGCATCATGACAGGGTGACACAGAGCCATGGGGGGCTCTGGGAAGGCCCCGCTGAGTCAGGAACACCAGAGCCAGGCTCCTCCCTCTGCTGTGGCAGGACAGCACAGGGACAAAGCTTGGGGACGCTGCGTGTAGGGACCCTGCGTGGGGCACAGGCCAGCCTGGCCCCTCCCTCCCCTTTCCCAAAGTTACAGTCTCTCTGCCAAGTGGCTCCACAGGCCCCCAGGCCCCGACACAGAGTCTGTTGCCCAGTCCCCTGTTGGGAAGGTAGAATTAGAAAGAAATTATAAATATGACTTTGTAGCCAGAAAGGCTAAGGAAGAAATATAAATGATAGCACGGTTTGAATAATTCAAAGAAACCGGGCTGGTATGCCAGAACACATTCTTTCCTGCAATAAAACCAAGCTGAGACCCCTCATCTCAGCCTTATAAGGAAAGGTCTGAAGGACCCTGAGATAACTAAAAATATGCAAAAATAGCGATTTCTATAGGTTGTACACAAATGTTACTATATTAGTATACTTAGAAAGATTGGTTAGTAAAGGAATAGAATATTCAAAGGTATAGGTTATATAAGTAGTGGTATAGAAGAGCTCGCTCTCGCTCTCTCTTTTTCCGGCTCTCTCACTTCTGTTATGTTCTGTAACTCTCATTCATAGAAATCTTAAGTCTTAAACTCATGTATTCGTATCTTACTCTCTTTTGTATTGCTCTCCCTGAGCCCGCCTTGAGCTCTATCTGTTGGCTCATAGCAGGCTCTCTCTCTCTCTCTCTACCCCACGCCCTGAAATAAACTTCTAACACTTAACTCGATTATAGAGGTCTTTGCCGTGTCTCTGACCGTCCCCAGAAAGCGTCTCCTACAGTCCCCCATGTCCCCCTGTACTGTCCTACATGTCCCCAGCTTCACTGCATGCTGATGAAGAGCTGTTCCTACAGCTGAGGGGAACCTGCTTTGCCAGGTCCCCAAGGTACCCTCTCCACTTTGCAAGAACCTCTCCTCATGAGTGATTCCTCCTCCTCCCACCCATGAAGGGGAATTCCTCCTCCTCCTTGCTCCCACAGAGCACAGCCATGCAGGCCAGAGCAAAGCCAAAGGCAGCAGTGACAAGTCCAGCCCAGCCCCACCCATCCCATCAAGGGGTGCTGGGTCCCTACACTGGCTCACAGTTGGTTTTGGTGCTCAAGGTGGTCCTCTGAAGGACAGGGGACTCAAACACGTGGTGCCTGTGCCCCAAACCACAGGCACGGGAAGGTCCACAAAGGCTCAAACCAGCCTAGAGTCTCTCTGTTCCCTGGGTTTTAACTGGGACCAGATGAGAGGTGAGGGTCCCAGGGCCCCACAGGGTCAGGATCTGCAACCCTGTGAAGGCTGAGGGCTCCCAAGGGGAACACTGGGGCAGGAGCTGTGGGGACCTGGCTGCTGCAGCCTCCAGGGCTGCTCCTGTGCCCACCCATGAGCCATCGCCACCAGCATAACCACAGGAGTGTCACCTCCTCCTTGTGTCCCCCTGGGCCAGGCAGTGTCTACCACCAGGGTCACCCCACTGACCACCCCATGGAGCTGTGCCCATATGGCTGCCCCCCAATACCCATGTACCCCAAGTGCCCAGGAGTGGCTGCACTAAGTCAGAGAGGTCCTGGGGTCCCTGCTCTCCCAAGTGGGGCCATGGGAGCTTCTCCAAGACCATTCTGCCCACCCTGGGCAGGCAAAGGCCCAGCTTCTCATCTCTGGCCCCACTGGGCAGGACCATGAGAATGCCAGGCTGCTCGGCAGAGACACCTGGGGCAGGGACTTTGGGACAGCACTGCCAGACAGGCTGAGACAGGCATCAAAGAGACATTTAACCTTCCTCCCCACTGCATCAGGAAGCTGGACCCCAGAAAAGAGCTGGCTAGCAGGCAGGGACATCAGGACTGCCTGTGGGAAGGCCTGGGACTGCGGCCGTGGTGGGAAGATGCCACTGATAGCAACTCGTGGTGTCTCCCCCGCCCCGAGGCTGCGGTTTCAGTTTCCTCTGATGTGAGCACGGGTTTGCCACCGGAGGAGACACCCCGCTCCCACACAACACCCCTCGCTGCAGTGTGATTGAGGAAGCCGAATGGCCCCGGCACAGCCAGCTCCGGTGGGTTTGCCACCATCACCGCTCACTCTGTGGTCAGCCAAGATGGGCTGGGAAAACCCCTGCCTGGGGAATAACCCACGCTCCAGCCTGGAAAACAGCCTGCATCCCTGCCCCAGCCTGCCCTGAGCTCTGCTCCCTGCACCCTGCAGCCCCCATGCAAAGCCTGAGTTAGGACTTCCCTTCTATGCTCACGGGGCAGCACCCAGCTGGAGCAGGGGGAGGAAACAGCTCCGGCCGCTTCCCTAAATCTAGGGCACTGATGCAGCTGACACTGGGTCAGGGGTGACACTGGTGCCCTTCAGCACTCTCCCCGACTCACCAAGCCGAGCTCCACAAGGTTAGACATCTTATCAGCTGCCGTTGGATTGCAAGAAGCAGTTGGTTGAGATAAATTTGGGATCAAGATAAGAGGACCCACACTGCAACCGTCCTCCCTCCACACAGATCTGCTCTGAGTGAGGCAGTGCCTGGTTGTTACCGAGGGTTGTTATCAGGGGCCATTTCTTCCACCAACTGCCCCGTCCCCAGTGCCAGCTAAGCAAGATGTGCAGGCTCCTGCACCAGTCACAGCACCAAGGATGCCTCTTCAGACAACGCTGTCCCCTCAGAGAGGGACCAAGGACTCCTCTCCTACCGCACTGCTCTCCACATCACACTGTCCCCTCACAGAAAGACCAAGGACCCCTCTCTATGCCACACTGTCCCCTCAGAGAGGGACTTCAATAGATGGGTCCCCACCAATCCCTGCACTCTGTTGCATTTTTTGACCCAGGGCACAATGCAAGACAAACCTGTCAATAATTCCTGTGCTGTACCCCACTGCTGGCCCCTGGGGTGCACAGCCCCAGCACAGCCAAAGGCCCATGCCATAGGCTTCCCCCCCGGGGATACCAAGAGCTGCTCAGGAAGCACCTGGGCTTTTGGGATAGCCCCGCTTTTACGGCTGGCCTTGGTTTTGCTGCACCTCCAAGGTTTGAGGCTCTAACCCTAACCATAACCCCAGCCACACACACAAAGCCCGAGGGACAGCAGGGAGCCCCCCGGGGTGGGATGGTGCCCCTTCCCCATCCAGGCTCAGCATCCTGCCGTCCCCTACACATGGAGCAGCTCTGTCCCCACCTCGCTGCCACAGAAGATACTAGAAAGGCATCTCACAGACTACCCCCTCCTCACAAGGCACCCCAGACCCATCTCCTGTCATCCAGGGCACTGCCAACACACCAGAGCCCCTTCACCCTCTACAGAGCACCCCAAAAGCCCCCAGGGCAGCATTCCCTTCCATGGAGGAGCTGCTCCCTTCCACTCCAGGGCACTCAATTCCACCCAGCCTTGGGGCTGCTCCTCTCCAGCTGGGGGTACCCTGTCCCCACCTCACTGCCACATAATGGTCCCCCTCCCCAGAAAGGCTCCTGCATTTTCAGGGAGACCTCCATGCTACAAGGCACCCTGCTTCCTCCCCACTCCAGGGAATCCCCAAGGCTGATCCTCCAACCCAGAAAGGCACCCTTGGTTCCTCCTCTTCTAGGGCACCCCAGAAAGGTACCCTGGGGCTGATCCTGTACCCCAGAGAGGCTCCTCCAAGGCCACTCATGTCCACAAAGGGCCCCCCAGCAGAGTGTCCCCCATCCATGCCCTGCCAGCAGAGCTGCTCGGGGCCAACTCCCTCTACCCAACATCCCCCACTGTCCCAACCCTAGTCATCCTAGAAAGGTTCACCCAGGGTCATCCCTTTCTTCTTAGGGCATGCCAGAAAGGTTCCCCTGGGTAGCCCCCACTCAGGACACCTCAGAAAAGCTCCTTGGGGCCACCTTTCTCCCTTCTGGGCACCCCAGAAGGGTGTCTGCCACCCCCGGCATCCCAGAAAAGCTCCTCCAGGGTCACTCACATTCACACGTCACCCCTGACGTGGGGTCCACTCCCTCAGGGCACCCCAGAAAGGCCCCCCTAGAGCCATCCTCTCCACTTAGAGCACCCCACAGCCCTCACAGCCCTACTCCTCCCCTCTCCTCTCCTCCCCTAACCAAACTCCCTTGGGGTTACCCATCTCTTATCTTTGGCACCCCAGCAGTGTGTCCCACCCATGACACCCCAGAAAGGCTCCCCATGGCTATTCATCTCCATCCAGGCCACTGCAGAAAGGCTACCCTGGGGCCACCCATTTTCACCCAAGACACCTTGGATAGGTACCCTTGGGCCACCCCCTTCCAGGCACCCCAGAAAGGTTCCCCTGTGTGTCTTTCAACACAGAACAACACAGTAGGGTTCCCTGGGACCATGCCTCTCCATTTAGAGCACCCTAGAAAGGCTCTGGATGTCCCCTCACAGACAGCCCGGAAAGTCTCACCCGGGACCATCCCTGTTCACTTAGAGCATCCCAGAAAGGCTTTGATGGTTGTTCCCCAACACAGACACACAGAAAAGCTCCGCCGGGGTCATCCTTTTCTACTTAGAGTAGCCCAGCAAAGTTTCCCCCTCAGATGACGCCCACTCAGGACACCCCAGAAAGGCTCCCCTGGGGCCATCCCTCTTCACATGGAGCATCTCAGAAAGGCTCCCCCGGGTGTCCCCCACCCAAAGCGCCTCAGCAAGGCCTCCCAGGGTCACCGCTCTCCACTCCGGGCACCCCAGAAAGGCTCTACCGGGGTAAGCCCTCTCCACCCAGATCCCCCTGTCTGAGCTTCCTGTCCCCCGTACCCCCCATGCGGGTGTCCCCGCTCCCTCCGCTCCCCCGCACCCACCGGCCAGGTGCCAGCCCTTCCTGCGCCCGCAGCGGCCGCAGCCGTGGG